GCGCGTGTCCACCCGCACCTTCGCCACTTCCCATGCGTCAACCACCGCCGCAATGTTCACATCTCCGCCGACTGCAGCTGGGTCAATGTTGAGTGTCCTCTGGCAGAAGTCCCGGATGCCGCCCCGATCGTCCGCCAGCGCCGCGAATCGGCCGACCGTCTTTACCCTTGCCGCTGCCAGCGCCACCTGCACATGCGGTGGCATCTCCTTGATGTCCAGCAGGCCACCGAAGTGCACCGCCGCACCAGCCATGACCCTCTCCCTTTTCCGGCTCTGGCCGAAAGGTAGCAGCATCCATGCTGGTACCCACTGATCCCCAAGTTCCGGGCCTTGTCAACTCCAATCAAGAACCGCCCTTGCGTGCAGCCTTCTGACGCTGCATGCTTCTGGCCCTCCGACCTGACCTCCCTGACGCATGACCGCTTGCAAGATCCCTCATGCGCCTGCCAGTGAGATTGAACCTCAACCTCACTCCTCCAGCCCCGCGCCTGTCCTTTTACGGCCGACCCCTTTGGTTTGGGTGGTGCTGAAAACGGGTGAAACGAGGCTAGTCTAGGGAGTCCGTGGAAGCCGAAATCGAGGATGACACCTCGCTGTCGCCCTCGACACCTCGGGGGAAGCACTCCTTGCACACCCGGTGGTACGTGCCCTCTGGAGGTAGGTCCTTGCCCAGCCCTCGAACCGCTTGTAGTGCACCCCCGGGCACGATGACACTCTCCCCCACGGTGGAGTGTCCTCCTCTGCGATCTTCCCACCAGGCTCACGAAGTACCTGCTCTTGTAACCCTCCGGCGTCCGATCGGGCTCACTGGCGGTCTCGTCCTTCTCGTCGCCGTCTTCCACCTCGACCACCTCCAACCCAAGGATACTAGCGAAGATGCCTCCCTGGAAGCTGGTTAGCCTCAGCTACTGGTCCTCCACATCGTTGGAGCCACCAGCTTCTCCACGACCTTCTCCATGATGGACTCCTCATCCAGCTTGTCCTGTGCTTTCTCCACGTTGCCCCTGACATAGGCCTTGTCCGTGGAAGGCTGCCATCTGCCCAGCTGCTTGGGCATGTAGTTGTCGACCCCCAGCAAAGCCGCCCAAGACCTCAAGGTCGCTCTTTCGGAATGCTCTGACCAAACAGTGCCCGCGCCCTGGCAGAGCAGAACCTTTCCGGGTCGACCGACCCCTTCCAGCTCCTCCTGCTTCCGCTGGCTCATCACGAGCTCGGCCAGCAAGGCCTGACTCATCTGCCACGCGTGGTAGTACTTGCCCATGGCCCTGATGAGACCGGTGCCCTCGCAGTTGGGCAAGGCCAGAAAGAAGTCCCCTCCTCGCTCATAGACTTCCACAGCTGGTAGCCCACCCCAAGCCACCTGGGCTCCTCCAGCCATGCCTCCACCGAGATGAAGACGTGCTGGACCTCGACCTTCTTTCCCGCCTCGGTGGTCTTGGTCCTCTCCAGAACACCCGGAAGTGCTCGGCCGCTCATCTCCAACTTGCCGAAGGGCATTCCCTGCGTGTCCGAGAAGCAGGGCTTGGAACACTTCTTCAGGCCCGCCGCGGTGGTGGTCGCAAGACGGGTCCTTCACGGGCCCCGCGGCCACGGCACTCTGTGGTCGGTCCTGGTTCACCCGGAGGCCGTCCAGAAACGCCTTGACTTCCTCTCTGAAGATGCTGGGGTCGCGCACCTGAGCCTGCCGCAGCGTCTGCGCTATGCTGCCGAAGCCTGTGCGGGGATTCTTGCAGACGGCCTTGATGGTTCGTCTGCGGGCGTCAGCCATGTTTCTTATGGCTTCTTGCCCGTGTTGCCTGCGATCACGAGGCAGCCGGAGTTCCTCTGGTTCGTGGTCAAGGACAGCTGCGTGGAGAGGCTCTTTGTCTGCACCAGCGCCTCGTCGTTGATCATGATGAGCTCACACTGGTGCGCCCCACCATCCCGCTCCAGGAAGACCCTCGCGCTCTAGCCGCAGCTCCAGGCCGCTGTCGGTTGTTGGACACAGGCCCTGGAATATCTGAGCACCCCCTCCGTCATCACGTATCTCTCCAGGGCCACGATGACCTCCGCCGGGATGTGGACCGCTTGCCGCCGTCCTTGCAGATCCAAGCTCCCCAGCTCCAGGTTGACCTCCTCCAAGGTGTTCTGCAACGCGGGATGCTTGCAAAGCCTTTCCTTCTCCGGCACCTCCCCAGCCACCTCGATGAACATGAGTCTTCATCAAGCTTGTGGGGATGCTCTTGCCGCACGGCTCGGCAACCCGATGCATGATGTACTCTATGAACTGCTCAATGGTCCGCGGCCATGGCACATTGTAGGTGCTGTACAGCCAGGGCGCCACATGCCGCCAGGTCTTGACGTGCTTCCGCAAAGTGGTGGACCTCCTCCCCTTTCCGATCCGGTGCCAGGCCGTCCCGTCGGGGTCCGCGTTCCACCCCGCTGAAGCCGGCAGCTCCGACTCCACGATGATCCTCTTGAGCATCACCGTCCACCTCGTCCTCTCCGATCTCTCGGCCCGGTCCCGCAGGTCCATGTTGTCCCCAGCTCGCCCCACCAACCTGCTAAGCCGGCAGGGCCAGCGTGCCAAGGGCGCTTTGCCCTTCCTGCAGGGGAGCGCCTCGAGATCCACGACCTCCGCCACCACTTCCTGCCGGAAAGTCCTGGCCCCCCAGTCCAGGCCGCCAGACCGGTCCTGCCCGTGCTCCCGCACTCCTTGACCTTCTCGTGGAACTCCTCCAGCTCCTCCTCCGTGGCCTCCCAGCCCCACGCCTTCTCCCAGACCTCCCGGAGGCCCCTCTTCGGCAGGTCATCCAGCGTGCCAAGCCTGGCCGTGGTCCAGCCGCACGCCGCCAACCTGGACCAAGTGTGCCAGGCCTGAGCCTAAACACATGTGCCGTTTACGTGACGTTTCATGAGTGGCAAGCAACCCATTTTCACGTTGCAGTTGCTGCTGCTGCTGCTGCTGCTGCTGCTGCTGCTGCTGCTGCTGCTGCTGGTGGTGGTGTTGTTGTTGTTGTTGTTGTTGTTGTTGTTGTTGTTGTTGTTGTTGTTGTTGTGCTGCTGCTGCTGCTGCTGCTGCTGCTGCTGCTGCTGCTGTTGCTGCTGCTGCTGCTGCTGCTGTTGTTGTTGTTGTTGTTGTTGTTGTTGTTGTTGTTGTTGTTGTTGTTGTTGTTGTTGTTGTTGTTGTTGTTGTTGTTGTTGTTGTTGTTGTTGTTGTTGTTGTTGTTGTTGTTGTTGTTGTTGTTGTTGTTGTTGTTGTTGTTGTTGTTGCTGTTGTTGTTGTTGTTGTTGTTGTTGTTGTTGTTGTTGTTGTTGTTGTTGTTGTTGTTGTTGTTGTTGTTGTTGTTGTTGTTGTTGTTGTTGTTGTTGTTGTTGTTGTTGTTGTTGTTGTTGTTGTTGTTGTTGTTGTTGTTGTTGTTGGTTGTCTGTTGTCTGTTGTAGGTTGTCTGTTGCCTGTTGCTGGCGTTGTTGGCGTTGTTGTTGTTGTTGTTGTTGTTGTTGTTGTTGTTGTTGTTGTTGTTGTTGTTGTTGTTGTTGCTGTTGCTGTTGCTGTTGCTGTTGCTGTTGCTGTTGCTGTTGCTGTGGTTGTCGTTGTGGTTGTGGTTGTGGTTGTCGGTGTCCTTGTCGTTGTCATTGCCCTTGTCATTGCCCTTGTCGTTGTTGTTGTTGTTGTTGTGGTTGTTGTTGTTGTTGCTGTTGCTGTTGCTGTTGCTGTTGCTGTTGCTGTTGCTGTAGTAGTAGTTGTAGTTGTAGTTGTAGTTGTAGTTGTAGTTGTAGTTGTAGTTGTAGTTGTAGTTGTAGTTGTAGTTGTAGTTGTAGTTGTAGTTGTTGTTGTAGTTGTTGTTGTTGTTGTTGTTGTTGTTGTTGGTGGTGTTGGAGTTGTTGTTGTTGCTGTTGCTGTTGTTGCTGTTGTTGCTGTTGCTGTTGCTGTTGCTGTTGCTGTTGCTGTTGTTGTTGTTGTTGTTGTTGTTGTTGTTGTTGTTGTTGTTGTTGTTGTTGTTGCTGTTGCTGTTGCTGTTGCTGTTGCTGTTGCTGTTGCTGTTGCTGTTGCTGTTGCTGTTGCTGTTGCTGTTGCTGTTGTTGTTGCTGTTGCTGTTGCTGTTGTTTTTGTTGTTGTTGCTGTTGCTGTTGCTGTTGCTGTTGCTGTTGCTGTTGCTGTTGCTGTTGCTGTTGCTGTTGCTGTTGTTGTTGTTGTTGTTGTTGTTGTTGTTGTTGTTGTTGTTGTTGTTGTTGTTGTTGTTGTTGTGGTTGTTGTTGTTGTTGTTGTTGTTGTTGTTGTTGTTGTTGTTGTTGTTGTTGTTGTTGTTGTTGTTGTTGTTGTGGCTTGTTGGTTCTTGGTTGTTGCTTCTGTTGCTGTTGCTATTGCTGTTGCTACTGCTGCTGGTACTCCCCTTCAAAACGCCTGATTTTATGGTTGTTTGCCTTTTACAACAACCTCCACCAGTGCACTGTCAAGACCAAAACACAGCACATAGGAACTTGGTCAAGTTTGGGAACCCCCAAACTGTTGGCACCAATTCTGCCCAACTTGATGGTTGTCAGTGAGAATCACCCATGTTTTGAGGCATGAACCGATTGGGATCTCTGAAATAAGGAATCCGCCAGCTTTCGTTCGAAGAAGAATCCAAACATGCGCAGCTTCACATGGAACGCAACAACAAAAACGTGACTTGTGGAGGAACGCCTGCTTTGGATACCTGCTAGGTCCTCCAGTATAGGGTTAGAATAAGATTACCCTCTTTTCTGCAGTCTATTTTGGTAGGGGAACCCTCCCAAAAGGGGCGAGAAAGGACACCACTGGGGGACCTAGCTAAATCAACAAATCCCAAAGTCAAGGGCCTGCATCATGACGTTCGCTGGTTTTACCCAGACCACTGGGGCACCTAGCCTGAATCAGGGAATCCCTGGGTCCTCCAAAAAAGAAACGGAAGGGCACTACTTCGTTTGTTGCTGCGGGCTTGGTGTCCACTTCCCCGAGTCAGCTTCCCCGAGTCAGCTGGTTCTCTGGGGTTCTGGGCCCGGCTGCCGGTCCGGGAAGCCCATCCTGAGCCAGTGGGAAATCCCCTGAGGACAACATCCACTTCGCGCCACTTGGTAGGTGGCTTATCCCCTGATTTATAGGGTTTATCCCAGTATTTACAGGGTTTATCCCATTATGTATAGGGTTTATCCGAGTACCCCCGCAACTGGCAAGCAGCACCCCCACAACCGAAACCCTGGAGAAAATATCGTATGTACCCGTCATGTAGTGTGTACCCCTTTAAACCCTAGAAAATAGTATTTGGAACCCTTTCTGGTTGGACAAAAAGCAAAGACAAGTTTTACTACGTCCGTAATTCTCAAATTCCTCCACCAGTTTCAGGTAACATAGAATGAGATTGTCTTCATAATATATATATATATATATTCAGTCCCCCTCTGGCAGGTAGTCTTCTTCCCCGAGCATCCATGTGAAGTGAGTGAGTAATTTATATATTGTTTACACCGTCATCCCACCCACATTCGGAGCTGTAGCCTCTAGCCAAGATGCCCATTCGTGGATTTGCACAAACGTCTCGCGCCTTTATTGCTTGCGTTCTCGTCCTCAATCGCATAGCCAGATTGAGACACGGAAAATTGAATTTGCCTACAAACTAAAACGAGCAAACAAACAAAAAATGATACTGCCTAGATTCCGGAAACCTGTACAAACTAGCAAGCATGAAATGATGAGAGTTGCACATGCAGACAATGCAGTAAAAACCAGATCGTGGAATTCCACTTGCCTTGCAATGTTCTAGCAAATGGGCCTAACATTCCTGGCATGCGTATTATGAAGCCCCATGTCAAGCTTTCCTCTTGTGTGTGTGTGTCCTCAACAAATCACCCTGCCAGTGTGCCCAGCAAGCTAACTAGCTCTCGCTCAGCCTGGAAAATAGCTTCCCAATATTATTCCCAATTTTGCCTGTCCAAAGCAACATGGGTCAAACACGATTGGCAACACAGTCAAAACACGTTGTTCCATGCTGCAAACGGTACTTTGTCTCTTTACATGCGAAAGCAAGACATAACGCGCAACAACTGGCCGAGAGTGCCAAGCCGAACCAAGATTGCTCAACATGACCTGTGCGCCACGCCGTTGGTTTACCCGTGAGCCCCCATGAGTTAACTGACTAATTAAGTACTGGGAGGTCTCCGTTTGGATATACCTTGGGTAAATGTGTCAAACCAAATCCATCTTTGAGGTGCTTCTCATAGGCAGCCGGGCCAACACAAGCAAGCTCGTGACACACATCCAATGATTTTCCCAGTGGCGACCATGCCACTTCAACTATTAGAACTTGAATACGAACAAAAACACATGACACCTTCAATGGAAAGCACGTGAAAGTATTACGCACGCCCAATAATGAAATCAATCATGATGGAACTGCTGAGTTTGTTTGCTGTTCGTCTAACTGCTGACATGGTTGATTAATCTAGGACTCCGGGGCATTTACGTCTGTGTCGTGGTCAATAAATCCGGAGGAGTCTTCACAACTTGTCAGGAATAGAGAGGGCATCACCATGTTGGGACTATCAGCTACTTCCTTTTCTCCGCATTGTTCTCCCCGCAAATTAAAATAGAAACCGCAAGGCAACCTCCTAACATGATGGTTTTGGAAGTTCCATTTGTTGTGGCTCCGCACTTTGCTTGTCTTTGCCTCACACCAATTCAAGTCAAGGCTCCCAGGTTGTAGCTTCTGCTGCTGCTGCAAGCGCTGCAGTTGCAGCAGCTGTTGCTGTTGCAATTGTTGCTGCTGCTGTAGCTGCAACTGTTCTTGCAGCTGATCATGCAGTTTCTGCTGTTGCTGCTGCAAGTGCTGCTGATTCACGTACTGCTGTTCCTGGTGCTGTAGCTGTGGCTGCAGCTGCAGCGGCTGCGGCTGTTGCTGCAGCTGCTGCTGCGGCTTGCGCGGCTGTTGCTGTGGCCGCTGCTGTGGCTGCTGCTGTGGAAGCTGCTGTGGAAGCTGCTGTGGCTGCTGCTGTGGAAGCTGCTGAGATTGCCTGAGCCGGCAATTCCATACGATGCATTTGGAGAGAAGAGAAAGGGGCGATTCAGGAAACGTCCAAACATGCATCAAAACCTGGAACTGGGACAGCTAGTCACAAGCACCACAGGTTGTCCAATGGTGAGCGTGCCCGGAATGTGGTTGAAACCTGGAATGCCTTTAACATGAGGTCCTTTACCTGATGTTGCAGCCGTGAACAAAATCAGGCACATGTCATGAGGCACACATCGTGAACATGTCTTGACCCGAGAAGTGGACAAAAGGCTAGCAGTATGCGGAACTGCTTTGATCAGGATGCGTGCCCTTTGGTGAACGGAGATGTCACTATGTCACCATGCTCCAATATAATCATGGCAGTTTGTAGGGCTGCGCCAACTGCGAACTTTCAAAATTGCGCGGGACCACGGATAGCTCACTCCTCGCTTTCTTGCATGCAGGGTCACGCCTTCTGTCTGCTCAAGGTGCCGCCGCACACCGGACCGTCGGAGTGACCATCCAAATCCATATCTGGGTCGCCTTGAGTCCTTGAGTAGCCAACATTTCGCACGAAAAAGCAACTGAAGCTCAATGATCCTCCGGCAACCGACCGTCGCCGGGTTGCCTTTCCAGTTAAACTAACCCACAAAACGGGTAGCCTCGCAGTGGCCGGAGCCGGCCACGCGTTCTACGAGATACGGTGAACCGTGAGTCTTACAAGACCCCCAGAAGGATCTCGTGCTTTCATTTTGCACTTCATCATGCTCATCTCTAGTTCCGCAGATGAGATAACCGCATGACATGCCTTTATGGCCATACGAGAACCACACCAAGGAGATTGCCATGCTTCTCCGGAAAAAAATCTGCACTCCGGGGATCCGATCAGCCAAGAGATCCTGACTTGACAGTATGCCTCTGACAACGAGATGTGCAAAACACCTTCCGGCCCATGGCTTGGAATGATCGAAGCTCGCGACTTGAGGGACCAAAGCAACGAGCACCCAGGCTCGGTTGGAAGGGGTGTCAAACCTGCGAAATGCCCCGAATTCCCTCCCATTCTGCGGTGCCACGCGCACGGCAACTCAGAGGTCCAACACCATCCGGGGTGGTAGAATTTAACGACCAAACTTAGCTGGACTGAACCCGCCTCCCCCCGGAAAAATAAGACAAAACAACAACAAGCAAGTGCCCGAGACCTTCTTTTTTCGAGCCAGCCACGTCCAGTTGACTTCTGATGTCGCAACGGGTCGCCAACAGAAAATCTGCAAGAAGGTCTTCCACCGAGCGCCCGGGCTCCGGCAAGCTCCTGGAGTGCAGAGACGGCTCGGGTGCTCTTTTAGATTGAAAGGGAAGCCCAAAGGAAAACCGAAATCCTTGGGTGCTTTGTTTTGACACAGAGCAATCTATCCAGGGTGCCACCAGTTTGGGTGAAAAACAGAGCTTCTCAGAAACATTTGCCCGGGATCGGGAAAATAACACCATGTGGGTTGAAAAAAAACCCGTAGACAACCCTTGTATCCTTATGCCTCAGTATCGGTCAGTATCGGTTTTTTTCCTCTGCATTGGTTTGCAGTGTTTTGGCAGCTCTGGCTCGAAAGTCGCGACTTTTCCGTACAAGTGTAGTATGCGAAGTGCACTCTGCCAGCTCCCAGCTCCAGCTGGAAAGTCGCAACTTTTCAGTACAAGTGTAGTACACAAAGTACATTTTGGCAGCTCCAGCTGGAAAGTAGCAACTTTTCAGTAGTATGCGCAGTACACTTTGGCAGTTCCGGCTCGAAAGTCGCAGCTTTTCAGTGCAAGCAAGTGTAGTATGGTGTAGTATACGAAGTACATTTTGGAAGCTCCACAGCGGAAGTCGCAACTTTTCAGTACAAATGTAGTACACAAAGTACATGTTGGCAGCTCCAGAGAAGGCTGCAGGGCAGCTGGTTGGATTCGGCATGGCGGCCAATGAGTTGGGTATCGGTTGGGTATCGGTTTGGGTATCGGTTTGGGCCCTGCAAATTTATGATTCCGCAATCTTGGTTTGCGACAACAACTAGGACCTGATGTGTGTCTTCATGGCTTCTGGGGGTATCGGTTTTTTTCCTCTGTATCGGTTTACAATGGTTTTGGCCTGCGAAACAAGTTAAGGGACGGCCCCTTACATAACGAAAAGGCGCGGGGTTGTTTTTTCAGCCCATGTGGGCCGTACACGGATAAAAGCAACTAATCAACGCCAAACACGGCTCAACCCTGGAGTTTCACCTTGGGCAGTTGATTCCGCAAGCCCTGGACAGTTGGAACAAACTGGACGGTGTTGACACCTCTGCGCAGCCCCCAGTGTGTGCTGTGCATGGGTATGTAGGTAAAAGTATGTATGCCCGCCTCTATACGTGACGCAAATGCGCCATGTCATGTAACTGTGTATGTGTATACGTAAGCTATATACTGTTTATTTGTTCATGTTGTTAAATTAGTGTTATATTGTATAATGACAGAATACATTACATTATATCAATTTAAACTGAATCATACTATGCTATACTATAGTTAACTATACTAATACGATACTCTGCTAAGGTATATTATACAAATATTGTAGATGAGTGTCTCTGTCTCTGTCTGTCTGTCTCTGTCTGTCTGTCTGTCTGTCTGTCTGTCTGTCTGTCTGTCTGTCTGTCTGTCTGTCTGTTTGTCTGTCTCTGTCTGTCTCTGTCTGTCTCTGTCTGTCTCTGTCTGTCTCTGTGTGTCTCTCTCTGTGTCTGTCTGTCTCTGTCTGTCTCTGTCTGTCTCTCTCTGTGTCTGTCTGTCTCTGTCTGTCTCTGTCTGTCTCTCTGTCTGTCTGTGTGCGTAATATATTTTGGCATAGTATGATCATCAGTACTAGCACTAGCATTAGCATGAGCATTGGCATGCGTATTGGTTGTAGTAAGTTGAGTATCCGGATAGCACTGCATTGCCATTGTTTGCCTTGCACATCGTGTGGCATGCCACGGTAGGCCAATTCAAAGTCAATCCAGAGTTGCGGAATGTGTTGCCCTATCTCCAGGATCCTGGTCCTTTCGTATATCGGTGTGTTTACCCTTGAAATGGTTGCCGAGTGAACTCTTGGGCTGCGGCTGATATCGAGGCAACTGTAGGCTGATCCCCTCCATTCCCTTTCACATCTTCTTTAAAGAAGATACTCTGAAACCTTTTTCTGAAGACACAAATCCTGCAGGGGAAACACAGCTCTCCTTCTCGCCGATGGGCAACGTGACAACGTGGAAGAATGCAGAACAATCCCTAACGACAGCCATGCAAAATGTGAACAATAATTTTAAGGTGTTCAAAAGTTATCTCAACATTTGATTTACCCTCCCTCCAACAATCATGGAAGTTGACAGGAGAGCTTTGGAAGACTATTTTCCTTTTGGCGAACCCCTTTGTGCACTTCCATGATTGTTGGAAAGAGGGTACCAAACTATGATTGGGATAGATCAGCTATAGGCACGATGGTATGGCTCAAAATCAAACCACCAGAAATTGGACCGCAGGTTTAAGTCCTTGGTTCCATTCATTTACCAGGGTTCCATTTGTACCTATCTTAGACCCCCAGCCACGAGCATTTCCGTATTTCCGGGCTGCCTGAGAGCATATCTCTGCAGCGTCTGGAGCTCGGTGAGCTGCTGGAGCCGGTTCAAGGACTGTTGCCTCGGCAAAGGGCGAAACATGGGCCGCTGAAAGGTTTTGGTTGTTCATCTCCCCTTTCTAAAGACCTGAACAAATAAATGGTTACCATCCCACTGACATGGCACATGACAAAATTCCCTGGAGCAAATTGATCCGACAGGTGCCTTTTGGGACATTTACTAGATTGTGGACTAAAAGGGGAAAAGCCAAAAGGTTCAACTGCCTCCAAAGCCGCCCTATCATCCCTATCCACAAAAAACGCTTTACAAGGCATTGCCTCTCGGGGGGCTTGCACCTAAAGCCGCCCTCCAAAGCCGCGGGGCTTGCACCTAAATGATGCCTAGCAAAGGGTCCCCCAATCTGGCTGTACCTGGAATTGCAAGACCTGGAATAGCCTTGCCACAGCGCTGCTGCTCCAAACCAGGACGGGGAAAACAGGCTCTGCCCCTGTACTCAAAAAGTGAAACATGGGCTCTGCAAAAGGAACACGCAAAACGAGTCGCCGGGAGTGTCACAGACTGCACGCAACCGGTATCGTGTGACGGCTTGCCTTTCACAGGTTGGTTTTGAACTGAGTAATACATTGGGGGGGGTGGTCAGCATCGTGAACCCTCTTTTAGTTGGAAAGTACGGGAACGAGCCAATTTAGGGAGGGGACCCGAAAAAAGAAAGACCCAAAATAGGATTGTAACCCCCTTTACGGGGTTGACTGGGTTATCAAACCAAGGCGTCCAGGTACTCCTCATAGAGGTGAACACGAAACAAGAAAAGGAGGAAAGGATCTTCTTTTGTGGAGGCGCCTTATTCTTATGCTTCATGTGTGTCCTCAAAAGACTGCTGGGAACTGAAGGGGGGAGGTAAACCTCGGGATGTTGAAACGCCGAACTCTGCAAACCGGCCAGAGAACTCCATCCACATCTCGGATTTTCCTGTGAGAGCACCCTTCAACCTTCAAGAGGAGCGGCGAGGAGACGCCCTAAAACAAGCTTGCGCACAGCCCTTGTCATGCAAATCCTGAATCGACAGCTTCTCGCTCTATGCTGATGCAACTTCTTGATCATCGGAACGCTTCTGGGGGGGCGGGCATTGGGCTGCAGTGTCATGTTCGTAGGTACTGTTTGTGTGTGTGTGAGTGTGCACGCTATCCACCCAGTGCCTTGCATGGCAAAGGATCAAACCATGCCTTGCAATCCTCCGCAACATGTCAGGGCCAAAATCGAACTCCACAAAAGAACCACGCACAGGAGGGGCTCTCATGCAGATCACTCTGGTTCCTTTTGAGAGCGTTGAAACAAACACTCCTGGAGAAAACCAACATATGCTAAACTCAAAATCCGGTGTCTGGAACAAGCATCCCCTTTGATATCCGTGCGGCCTCCTTGCGGGAAACCTGGTATGTCACATTGGCTGTTCAGCCGCCAGAATATGCAGAGATCCCCAAAATGTCTCCCTACATGACCCCACCGAAAGGAAGCCGGCGCGGGTGTGCTTGGGCAGGTGCTATCATTTGCCCACGGACTGGGCGGAGTGGCGGCGTGGCAAGGTATATGTTTGAAGCTGGTGGTGTTGCGTGCGCGTCGCGAAAAAAAAACAATTGCGCACCTAATGGTGTCCAGTCCGGTGGCAAAAGCAACACAGCGGCGTTCACCTGGGGCTTGACTCAATTAACCCGAACAGCCAAAATCAATTCACACGAACAGCCCAACCCAATTAACCCAAACAACCCAAACAAGAACAAAAACCCAAACAAAAAGCCCAGGCTTACAACTACTGTGCCCAACCAAAAAGCACCTCAAAATACCACCAAGCACATGCAAACACACAACAAGAAACCATATTCAAACAACCACCAAGAGCCCACCCAAGCAATGCGGCTACTCCCAGCGAAGTGAGAGACAGTTAGACAGTGCCGAGGCGCTCCCTCCGCTGCAACTCTGCCATGCGCGAATCGGAGACGTTCGGCTTCTGCATCTCTTGCTTCCCCTCCAGCCTCGGTGTGGTTTGAGGGTACCTGTTCAACGCATGAAAAAGCAAGCCAGGAAATCCCCCTATTTTCACACTACACACATAAACGCGCATGCACACAAGAGGGTGCGCACGCAGTTTAAGTGGGGAGCCCGCTAGGATTGGACGACTTCCCCTGATTTTTCAACAAGAACCCCACATGTTTGAGGTCGATTTCTTAAAAAACAACCAGTGGCAAAGGATTCGGGGGTCTCCTCAGAAAAGACTTATTCAGGGTAGACCCACTATGAGGCGGAGTCTGAATATATTTCCCGGGTTGCATCATTCTCAGCCCCTTTTGAGCCACGCCCATATCTTTTTTGGGTGTAGAGCCCGAAGATCATTTTAAGAGGGATTTCCTAGTATGAATGATACCTTCGTTGGATTAACCTAACTAGCGGGTTCCTCCCCAAAATTTGGTTCGATCCCCAAAAGGGGTCTGATTCTTATCTCATTGTACTCAGGTCGTTGCAGGTTGCTTTACACATTCGATTCCACCGGAGCCAACAAGTCTGGTGGAGCAAACAGCAACGTCACCCATGAAGCTTCCGTTAAGGAGGCTCCCTTTCTTTTGGTCTCAGAATTATTGAACATTGCCCCGAACACGTGGTTTAAACATGCTCACACAGGGCGGCAGGCACCCGCGGGATGCCTCGTCGAAACATTGCAAGCAAGGAGACAAACATGAGTCTTGCAGGAGTTTGTCCGTGTGTGTTTGGGGGGGCCCTGGGCAAGATTCCATGATTGTTGGTTGGACATGATTGGTTGGCTGGCAACATTTACAAATCCAGCGTATGTTTAGGTCGCCAGTGAACCAAAACTGCCCCACCAACGTGGAACCATCCAAGGGTCGCTTCAAAAGGACAATCGTCCGCCGTGTCCAGAACCCCTCTCTCCAGTTCCATGTTAGTGGATCGGAGGGATCCAAGATTAGCAACCCCAAAAAGAACGGCCCTCCCATACCATCATGGCCTCAACTGTGACAAAGCGATCCAAGATGTTGGAATTGCAAAATTCACGTGTACAGTGTGCTAGATGTCTATGTTGACGGTTCACATGTCGACCGATGACTTTCATCCACCACGCTTGGACAGGGGAATCTTCCGCCGAAATGCAAAGGTTTGCCTGTAAAGTGGGACACCCCCACAAATCAAAAAACCCTGCAAGGGGTTCAGTACTTGTTCAGTACTCCACTGGGAAGGACTGAGTTGGCATCGACAGCTCGCCAAGGCGCACTGCAAGCCGGAGATGCTCTACCTCCTGAGGCTGGCGGCGAAAGAAAAAGGGGAAACTGAATTCCCTCCCATCCTCGAACATGGAACCTGACTGAGGGGTCCTGGAAGACTATTTTCCGTTTAAAGGGACCCTTTGGTGGGTTCCACGTTAGTTGTTGGGAGGGTACCCCTTTTTAAACCTATCAGGGCCTCAATTCAAAGGCTAAGAGTGTGAAAGTTCGATTCGCTTTGGGGATGTTGCTTCACTCAGTCCTGACTTCCTGGACTTTAGTCACTTTGGGTCTGGACCATTTAGTGGCAAGCAACAGTTTGGACTCTAGGCCAATCCACTCACTTGCCAAAATAGGGAAATGAAACCATTCCGCAATGTAATTTTGAGAGCAGGTATGCCGCACAACAGTCAACTTAAGGCACCAAGGAAAGCATTCAAAGAAAAACAAAATTGAACAACCTCGGCTCACCTGCTGTGGTATCTGTGCGGTTGGAGTGAGGTGGATTTTGAAATATAAGTTTATCTACCATCACTGCAGCAATTATCCTAGTGCCACACAAATGCTTGCAGGGTGTTCAGGTTATTGGAGGGTGGGCCCCGAATAAGACACGTCCGAACATCGCCCATGGGCAAGCAAGCAAAGAAGCATGGATAAGAGCCATGGTATCTGGCAAATGTCGGTCGCTTCTCCCTTGACTTCTACATCGAAATATATAATATTCTTATCCAGCTGGCAATTTAAAAAAACAAAAAAAAACAAAAAACAAAACACTAACTACATGCTGGCTTGCGCAGTGTCTTGGCATTCCTGATAGCTATTCCCGTTTGCTTGGCGAACATCCAAGGCTGAGGCTCAAGAGAGCAGACGCTGAGCCAAAAAAAGAGGAGCATTTTACGGCGTAGATCGACCCGAGAGGCTGCAAGAGAATCCATTGTTTCCTGAAAACTAATCTGGAATATCCCACAAAACCATCATGTGCAGAGGAATGATTTTTTTGGGAAGCGGACCTTGTTTTTGGGCTCCATGCCTTTTTTAAGAGTAAAGCGGCCTGAACGGTGCTCTCAAAACTCAAGAGCCCGAGAGCTAGGCGGTTTCCTGTTGAAATCCCTTCAGCATCCCAAAGGAAGTCAACCAAAAAACAAAAACAACAAAAGGAAGCGACTTTTTTCTGTTTTTAGGGAAACAACCCAACAAAAGGAAGCGACTTTTTTTACGGGTTCTCCGAAAGGAAGGACTTTTGGCCCCGCCAAAACGGGGTGCTTTGGTTCCCCAAAGGTTCCAAGGGGTTCGGCTCCTGCGACTGCTGAGCTTCCAGGTCTTCGGTGGGCTGTGGCCCCGGGATTCTCGGGGCCTGAGCCACAGGCAAGCCACGGCCGAAGATGTTGGGCGGCGGGGGGGAGTTGTGGCTGCGAAGGGGGGTGGTGAGGGGTGGGGCATGGGGGGAGCATGGCTGGGCAGGGGGGGGGGGGGGGCTGGGGGAGGAGCCCAAATAAGCTACATAAGGCCTTAAGATCAGTGCTTATTTGGGCTCCCTCCCCATGAACTTTGAAACATGGGAACCAGCCGCAGTTAGGTAACCAGCCGTCAGGTCCAGAACAGGAACCCATGCGAATCTATTGGGGACCCTAGAAGGGATGCTGATTTTCCATTGCCTAAGCCACTAACGGTTCATTAAGCCATAAACTACAGTTGATGGACGAAATCCAGCACCACGTTCAAACCATGGGAAACCACGGTTTGTTGGTATTTACAGTCAGGGGAATCATCATTCTATGGTTTCTCAGGTGATGCAGGATTTCGTCCGTTCATACCAGGGGTTCATATATGGTTAAAGGGTGGCAAGCCCTTGGTTGCCTACTATACTTGCGGGTGGGAATGAGGGAATGAACCCGGTCGCCTTAAAGGAGACCGCGAGAGATGGTTTGTAAGGGTCACTCCCCCATTCCCTGCTGAGCACCAGCAAGTATATGGGGGTTTACCAAAAGGTCCGTGATACATGGGCTGACCATTAGGGAGACCAACATAGTTTTGATTAAATCATCGCATGGTTGAAAAGCTACGCATGGGGAGTTTGGGGCCAGGAATATTGACCAACCCCGATATGGGTGTGTCTCAAAATTGAGGAACCTTCCCCAAGCAGGTTTCTCTTGGTTGCCCACACCGAACGCGTGACGGGTACTCTTTCTGTGAGGGTAGCTTTTGGTGGTAAGTCAAAAAAACAACCGCAACTTGTTTTGTCAAGGGCTTTCCTGCAAGCGACGTTAAGGTTGGTTTTATGATTGGCGCATCATCTCTTTCTTCTTTGAGTGGCCGTTTATTCACCTCCTCCATTCATGTCTAAGATGCCTTTGTTGAGGTGACAGGAAGCGAGAAAACATCATCAATTAAAAACTTAATTCAAATACGTTTTAAACATCTGTGCATCTCTATACATCATAATCAAACAACTGTCATCAAGCCAATGTCCCACAGTCCCACATATTCTTGCTCACGGCTCCGACAACCTCCTTTCATGCCAACTTCAAGGCTAAAATCACAGGACAATCACATCTAGAAATCTGTTCGGGCTACCCAACCCCCCTTGTGTTGGTTGTTTCTCTTGCAAAACAAAAACTCCTAAAATACAAAACAATTGCTTAAACAAAACCTATAAACCCTTTTATTGGCCTCGGCCCCCAGGGCCGGGAAGTGATCAAAACCCCCCCCCCACCCCAATGTCACGTCGCCAAAATCCCTGCTCCAGCTGCCTCCAGCCCGCCTGAAGCGAGCCTGGAAGGCTCAAGGCCAGGAAGCAGATCTCTTCGTATTGCCAGCCGGTCAGTTTCTGCAATTCCCCTTGGGCCGGTCAAAGTCCTAAAAACCGTAGATACCGGCCAAATCCCCCTGTAGACACCGATCAAATCACTCCTAAAAACCGGCCAACTTCCCACCCAGACTCTCCACCAGTCCAACTCTGGTCCCTCCCGCTGGACCTGTCAAACCCCCTCTAAAAACAGGTCCAACTCCGGTCCAACCCCAGAAACCGGAAAAATTCCCCCCAGAAACCAGTCAAGTTTCCTAGAAAATGCGCCCTTGGCTTGGCCGCCATGTGGAAACACGCCGACATGCACCCGCCCTCTGCCTTGGAAACCAGCTCACGCATTTCGGCGCCGACTCACTCACTCTAATAAAAGCAAGACTTCAAGGCAAACTAAAGCACGGCAAAAACCTCCAAGCCAGCCAAAAGCGGACTGGCCGAGGCGGGCGACGCGAAGCGTTTGCAATTAAAATTTAAACTTCCTTCCTTCCAATTAAAACCTGACTCCTGAATGTAAACTTTTACCCCCCCCCCAGCCCCACCACTTTCGGCTTGGACATGCAAACATCAACCCGCGTTTGTCGCGGCATCGCTCTTGCAAGCGCGCGGGCACTGGGCACCGGGCGCGCATGTCCAGGCCCTTCATAGCACCTCGCGGAGGCTGAAAAACCCCAGTGACGTTTTAACCTGTGCCGGGGCTTAATTTGGGTGCGGACTTATTTTGGGATATGGTTTGTTGTTTTTTGATTTGTTTCGTTTTGTGGGTCAAACATTGTCAGACCTGAACGCTGTGCCGTGGTTTGATTTTGACCCCTGTGGGAAAACAAATGGACTCCCCTTGGTAGACTACGAAACAACCAGGCCATCCAAAAATCGATATCTATATTCTACCGAAACAATCACTAAACCACGGGAATCGATATCTATGTTCCATCGAAACAATCACTAAACCACGGGCCATCCAGGAATCGATACCATCTATCGAAAGAATCACTAAACCGCGTGGATGTCATTGTTTGCGCTGGGGGTTCAAAGTCGGAAACTGGTTGCTGGGTTCCCTTTTAACCTGGCACTGAGTGGGGGTGACTTTGAACATACAATCACGGGGCTGGACAATACAGATGTGGTTCCTTTCCTTTGCCTGGGTAGCCTGTGTTTGGTTTTCAAGGGAAACCACAGGGAAAACCGTCACGCCAATCTTTGGGGGTTACCCCATGAAAATACACAAGCATACCTGCAAGTTTTGCAGGAATTCCAACATATATATATATATACACATTCAATATCCCGTTTGCCAAACCCAAGCTCATGACAAGGCTGCCCTGAAACGGTGGATTTCCACTATCGGGTCACCTGATGTTAGACTATGGTTGGGTTGGCACAAGGCACCCTAGGTTAAAAGCACCCTTGTGACACGCCAACTGGAGGACAAAATCAACGATGACCCCTCGCAATAAGGATCGTGTTTGTCAATTTGCCAAGGACACACCCAATAGACAATGCTTTCCCATGGTATGTAGCTCCCCCCCCCCCGTCCCATCCCCGCCGCCATTGCTCTCCGCGAGCAAGGCGTTTGCAAGGCTCTCGGGGAGACCAGGAAGCTCAGGAAGGCTCCTACTTGTGTGAGGCATCCCTGCTGTGGATGAACAACCTTCTGCACCACCGATTACCCTGTAAATACCAACAAGCCATGGTTTACCACGGATTCAACGTGGTGCAGGATTTCGTCCATGCGCAGTATGAAGTAGGAAAGCTCCAACTTTCCCCTTACCCCTTGGTGGTGCCTGGTGGTTTGGACAGGTACCTTCCCCATTTAAGGAACTGGGGTTCACATCCCGAAACCACCACTCCAAACCACCAAGTAAGGGAAGCTGAAACTTGGTATAGAAAGTGGTGAAGAACAAACCAAATTGAGAGGTTCTCAAAAACAACAAAAAAACTAACAACATGTTTGTTGCCCGGGTTCCTATGAAGGCCACTAGTTAGAGGCTAATCTTAGGAGAATGTCACTTTAATAAACCCGGTCTTGATGGCAAATGGCGGCCTTCCCCAGCATGTGAACGTTTGTTCAATCCCACATGCGGGTTTGTGTCCGTCAACTAAGTGGAACCACCTGCAGGAATCCCTGCAAATTAACGGATGCAACCCATAAAAGCTGGATTCCTCTACTGATGATGGGTTTGAGGTTTCTATGCTAATCTGCAAAAGTTGTGAATGTTGGAGAGAGAACCTGACTGGCAGCCCCTGAAAGACAGCTTCCTATTCCGGGGACCTTCGTGTGGGTTGCATTCTGGTGGCTAGTGATTGCTGCACTCGTCTGCACTCATTACTACACTCTTACAGATTGACATTTTCGCTTGCTACTGTTCTAAGTAGGACATATTGAGTCAAATCAAAACCTGGTTCTAAAATGATCTACTCTGAACCAAAAAGGCGGCTGCGACCATTTAGAGTGTCCCCTACTTCATCTTGCCGGGTGTTGATTGTGGCTGGCGCGCTCGACTCGCTGCCACATGGGGCCATTCACTGACCTTTATCTGCAAACCCGCGAAAGTCACCCCACAAAGTGGTCGTCCCAAGTCGTGGTCTCCAATGCCATCTCTTCCGTGCTTCCCCAGTCTCAAAATGATAGCCAAAATCACGTCTTTTTCAGCACTCGGAAGCTGATTTTCGTGGAGTCGCAACGAGTCCGAAGTAGCGCAGATGGTCGCAGCGCCATCACCACCCACCATCTGGAGGAAGCGTACGATCGAGTCGTCGTCGGCTTGGGTACGGAAGGCCTACATCAGATCAGATGAGCTGTCCACTTGCTTCAGCTCACAATTTTTCGCGGCTTGAGGTGGTGGCATAAACGCAAGTGTCGCTCCCAAAAAAATAATTTTCATCAGCTCCTTGGCTCCCCAAAAAGGAATCTGAAAAAAAAGCAATCCACTGGAGGTCGGAGTTCTCCTGAGCTCTTCCTTGGAGTGCGCATGTCGACAGAGCTCCCCCAGCTTGCAGCTGCCGTAGTCTGGGCCGCGAGAAGGCGACGTTGAGGGTTTAAAGAGAAGCCCACCGAAAGAATTTTGCTCCTTGGCTGGAGACCCCAGTTCAGTTCTTGAGCTTGGTATCCTTTGGTTTTTCACAGATCCGGATCGGGAACCTCTAAGGCAACCAGGGAGTTGCTGAACTTGAGATATTTTTATTGCGGACTGGATTGGCCAAAAGCACACTGTTGTTTACCCCTCAAAAGCTCCAGCCCACAAAAATGACTGAAGGCTCCCGAAACGGCAACTCGGGAAGTGAGGAATGAGTTGGAATGACCTCTTCGAACAATCCAACCGCCGGTTTCTTCTTCAGGGGGATTCCAAACGGTTCACTCGCTGAGAACCGGTCAAGCTCGGGGATTGGTGAGCAGGAAAAGACCAAACCGGGCCCTCAAAATGGGAGGATCTGCCATTTTGAAAAAAAACACAAGAAGATGGTTCTGATGGCAACATGAAGAACTTGCTGGTTTTCAGGGAATCAACACAGGTTGCGGGAATAATCCGCAAGTGGATCCTTTAAAGGAACTGCCAAATGCAAAGTGGCCTGAGTTGTTTGGCCAACCTTTTGATGAATCCTGACTCAACTGGAAGTTCGCAAACTGAACAGGTGAGAAGTATGTGCATTACGAAGGAACTCACAGCCTACAAAAACGTGTTGGTGTTCAACTGGAGGCTTTGGCCCCCCATTTCAAAAGGGATCGTGATCCGTCCTTGGCTCAGTATCTAGGCGACTTTTGGTTGCTTGAGTTTAGACAAAAATCGCACCAAAAGGGAAAAAGGACACCAGTTTGGCATAAAGCTACCGGAGTCATCATCAACGCAACTTGCTGGTGCTAAGCAGGGAATGAGGGAATGACCTTTGTAAACCATCCCTTGTGGTTCCTTTAAGCGGACCCCTAGGTTCATTCCCACATTCCATACTGAGCACCAGAAAGGAAGAGGGTTTACCCAACACCATGTAAAGAATCAAAAGGGCGGCCGCACCTATCTCTGGCTGAATCTGTCCCTGACTTGATCTGCACGGGTATTGATTGTGGCTCTCTTGAGGAATGCCATCCTACAACATAAAAACCTGATACTTCAGTGGTCTGCCCAAAACTATGCAATCATCAACAGGGCGGCCGCAGCTGTTTATAGAGACTATCCCTTACCAACCTTCACTCCGGGTTTTGGTTGTGGCTCAAAGGTGAGCAAGCACTTCTCTATAACTTCAGGGCGCCCATCGCCCAGTGACAGAGAAAACATCGCGCAACCCTCTGCCCCTAAATTCACCATTTTGGTGTGGGATCCAGCAAACGACAAGGGAAACCATGGGTCACACAACCCATCAGGCCCTTGTTGTGCTTGCGTCTGGAAGGTGGCCTCTGCGCCTCTGCGTTCGATCAAAAAGGTCCGGCTGACCCAAATGTCCACAGCAAAGCAGGTTGCAAGACTGCCTCTTCAAATGAGTCACAATCAAAACCCGGTATAAAAATGGTCTACCCAGAACCATGTAAGGAATTAAGAAGGCGGCCGTAGCTATTCATGGTTGGGATTGTCCCTTACCAAACTTCATCTACCTGGGTTTTGATTGTGGCTCAAATGCCTATGCAACTCTCCTTTAACCAGGATGCACGGCATGGCAAGCCAGCATCGGAGCTGCTTGGACTCTCATGCTCAAAGCCAGGCTTGCTTTTTAACATGGACCCCAACTGGGTCGAAAGGGAGGTTCCTGTGAGAAGCATAGTGTGGGGATCCGTATGGGTGTGTCTTGTTTTTGGATTTGGCCTCTCCAAATGGAAATTATGGTGGTCCTTTTGGCTTCCCTTTAAAACCACCAGACGGGGTATCGAGGCTCGGTGAATCAATTTGCAAATTGTCGGATGGCCCCTTGGCCCCTCGCAGTGGAAGCAGCACATCGTGGTCTTGTGGAACCTAGGCATTGGCTACAGATTTCCGGGTCAAGGGGGGGAGGGGTGGGAGAGGGGAAGGAGCCTAAAGGCATTTTTGCGGCATTTCGCGGCCCCTGATTCTTGATAGAAATCTTTTGTGGGCTCCCCTTCGCCTCCCCAGACTCCTTGAGTTTCTCGAGTTTCTCTACAGGTCCATGTCCAACCACTGCCCAGGCCGGGATTCAAAGTCGCCGCCGTCAGTGACCCTAGAAAAAGAGAGCCTTGGCATTGAGCACTAAGACATGGCTGATAGCTGAAGTGGACTGAAAGAGAGAGAGAGAGAGAGAGAGAGAGCGAGAGAGCGTCGTGGTAAATCCCAACTCCCTGACACGAATATGACAAATATACGAATACGGTGTTCAGCAACCGCTTGAACCCAAGGACTTACTCCGTGTTGCCTTGCGTGGGCGCCTGATACTGCGGTTTTAGCATAGTCTCGTTTGGGCACTAGATCATCCTGCTGGAGTGATATGTAACTATAAAAATAGATATGTATAAGGTCATACACGTTGTTGTTCCTTCAGGTAGTATGGACAGTGTCTGGTAAGTCTCTCTCTTTCTTTCTGTCTCTCTATATGATATATGTTTGGACATGTGTATACAGCTGCGTAAAAAACAATGCTTCCAGATTGGCCCATTTGCAAATCAACCTGCACAAATTGCACCAGCCGAATTCCTGAGGTCCCAAAAAGCAGCTTCACCATTGGTGAGCGGTACCCGGACAGCGCGCAATGGGCTCGTTGCGTATGATGTGGTTTGAGCAGTAGAGGCCCCTCTAAGACCTAAGCACACATCTAAGGGTTAGAAAGACTTTGTAAGCATGTGTGAAACCATGTATATATATATATATATATATGGTATGTAGAGCACACGATATACATATTTTATACAACCATGCGCGTTAATTTAGTTTGTATCTTCGTTGTATTGCTTGCTTCGCTGTTACCGCCAAAAATGAACAGCTTTCAAGTCCGGAGGTTTGGTTCTAGCAACATGCTTAAGGTATTCAGCTATGAACCCTTGAGACAAAGCAGAACCCACCTCCAGTTGCTTCGGCTTCCTGGAACAGCTCACAGGTGCAGTGAGGGATTCGGTTGAGCAACACGGAAACTACAATGGTTCAACTCAGCAAGAAGCTCGGTTTGTCTTTCTTTGGGGGAGGCACCAGAAAAGCGAAGCCGTTTTGGGGTGTCCCCTACAAAACTCCTTTAAAACGCATGGACGCAACCCAAAAAAAACACGGCCCAGGCAAATTTCGGGTTTCCGCACTTGTCTGTTGCCCGCAGCTCATCGAGGCTGTGGGCGAAGCTGCAGCCCTGCGAATCGGACCCCATCCTTTCAGACCACAACCCAACCGACTTACTCACTTCCTGAGTTGATTGGGCGGAAAAAATCCAAACTGTTAAATAATCTGCCCAAAAAGTTGTTTCAGTCCGGGAACTCAGGGAGTAAGAATAAGATGAAAAGGGTACCCAGTTAATTGATATAAGCCCAGCAACCCCAGGAAGTTGACAACCCCAGAAGCAACGCATGCGGCTTGGCCCCCAAGAGGGTTTCAAAGGACAAAGCATTAGGGTCCCAAGACCCCTTGGGCCTTTCGGGGGCCAAGTCCTTGTCTGTTTTTGTTCTCTTTTCAGCTTTTGACAGCCACATGACTGGCCGAACACCATTCCGGGTCTACCGAACTGGAAAGGTTGATGTGGATCTCACTACGAATCATATCAAACCAGGCATTACAAGAAGCTCCTAAATGGCCAGCAGGGTTTTAGGCGCTGCCCCCATTGACAGGTAATATACTTCAGCCGAATCAGGAGTATCTCTATACATGCAAGCGTTGAGATCCAAACATCGTTGCATGTCTATGTTCGCATGATCAAGTTGCTCGCCTGCAGCGTCTCAAACACTAAGGAGATCCTGCAGTGAAAGGAAGAAAATAACATACCCCTGGGGTGGATTACCCAACACCGACAAAATACAGCTGGACTGCCTGGATGCCAAAAAAACATCAATGTAAGGCAAAGCTTGTCAAGCTCGTCACGAGCGCGGCTTCAGTTGACTAGGTCCGGCATTGACAAAGAACTACATCTCACCCCAAAATCGGGCTCCATTGCAAACAAAGAAAAGGGCTTTGGTCAAACGGATAACTATTTTGACTGAGAGTCTAGTGGGTTCGCTCCCTAAGTTGCCAGCTGTCCCATGTTTGATTTGCTGTGAGGCCACAGGCCGGGGAAGCGGTTTCCACGTTGCGGCCGGAATGATCCTCCGAGTTTATTTGACCCGGAAGTAGCTCAAAAGCCTGTTTTTCCTGGGACGTAGATTTCGTGCCTCGCCATGCATTCAAAGTCACGTGGTTTGAGAAAACCTTTGACGGATGCCGGAATTGGCCATGTAAGCTATTCAGTTCCCACCCCCTACACACAATATCCATTTGCTTCAGTCAACCTTTTAGTTTTACCAAAACATGTACTAAGTGCGGGGACACCCGGAAGACTCCCTAGACTCTTTGGGAGCCTCATGCTTTCTCTCTGCGAATGATTCTCTAGCTTTGATGTTTGAGCCACCTCGCGTCACACTGTTCGCACGCAGGCACGTACATAAAGATACTCTTGCCGTGCAACACACATGTTTGTGAAACATCTGCCATGCCTCAAACCCCTTTTCAAGAAGCAATCGCCGAACCGAATCGCCTCCTGATCGCAGTGACCCGTGCTCACGTAGAGTTTGCACATCGCTGTCTTCCTGTGCCATGTCAGCAGGTTGCAGGTGAGTGGGAAGGCTCGATATTTCCCAGTTCAGGTCTCGTTGCAAGTTGGATCTTTTAGAAACATCCGCTGCAGATTCATTGGGGGCAGCCTGTAGCAGCCATTAAGATTCTGTTCTATCTCCGGGGGGGGCGGGGGCTGGGGGGACGGGGGGAAGCACTTGAGAAGTTGGGTGCTGCCGATGACTGCGAAGTCGCATGCCCCGTGAAGAACAAACAAAAGACTTTTCAGGTCCTCCTTTCGCCACGTTCCAGGATTGCTGGTACAACAACCCTTTGGCTAGAAGACGAGCATTGGCTATCAGAATATTGTTTCGTTTTGGATAGCAGCTGAGACTCCCATGGGATGGCGAGAGCAACATATGACATGGCAATGAGTTCCAGGTTGCTTCCCGAAGTCGTGCGATCATTTTGCTCATGTGCCTGCTCTCAGCCTAACTCCCTATTGATCCGATGGGATGATTAATTTCGGAGGCAACATGAACTGCTTGCGTCAACATCGGCAAATGGCAGCCGGACATTGACACTTCGCCGCTTTCTGAGGAATTCAGGTATTGTGGCTTATTGGGGGAACAGCCTCCGGATTCCAATGTTCTGGTGAACGAGGGAATCCGGAACAAGTGGAGTTTCTCAACCCGACTGATCCAGAGGTAACACAGAGGGCCCAAATCTGTTCACACAACTTACGTGCAGATTTGGGTCCATATCTACCCTACAAACAGCCCCCACACCAACCTCCTTGTTTGGTTCTCCGATTTCTTTCACCTGCGTCAAACGAGGTCCCCTTACCGACCAAAAGTCAGGTGGGGCCCCAAACGCCCCGGATCGGCCCCAGCTTTTTCGGAGCCCGGAGTCGAGTCGAGTCGTGTCCTGAGGTCCGGGGCCCTCTGCAGCTCTTCCATGCCATGAGCGAACTTGCAGAACTTCCGGCCTCAAAGGTCAAGGAGGCTGGGGAGGGGCCGGAGGGGGTGGTGGTCTCAAACCAAAAACAACTCGCAAATGCCTCGCCCGGGAGGTCTCAAAAAATATGGGTGGCTCGTCGTTTTTTGGTCTGCACCTTTTCTTTCTTGGGGGGTACGGTTCAATAGGAAGCCAAAAGGAACACCAATGCCATGATGAGGGGCCGGACTTTTATTCTGGCTGGTGCGATGGGCCAGGGAATCGGAAATGGAATGACCCAGAGATAAACAATCCCTTATGGTTTCCTCTATAGGAAAAACCGCTTCCCAGTCATTCCCAAACACCCGGAACGGTCATTCCCTACTCAGCACCAGCAAGTTTTTGAGGTACCCCCTCCCCGTTTTGGTTGTTTTCAGTAAGGAAAACTAAAGGGAAAGCAGCATCTTTGGGGTCCCCAAAATTTGTCAGACCTCAAGTTGAGGCCTGTGCCGTGGTTTAATTCTGAACCATGTGGGAAAATAGATGGATTGCTCCGGCAGACCATGAAACAACCAGGTCATCCAGGAATCGCCATCTATTTTCTACCAACACAATCGCTAATTCACTTGGGTGTGGCTCCTTTGTTTGAGCCTCCGTACCTGATCCCCTTACAAAGACACTCCCAAATGGTGATGGGGTACAAGGGGGGGGTAATTGAGAGACTGAATCAAACAAAAAGTGGAAGGGGGGGGTGCACGTGTTTTTGCTGAGGCTCGATGCACCTTTTTGTTGGTTGGTTTGAAGGGAAGGATAATCTCGATTTGTCAGGGGACCCTATTTTCATGCACAAAGCTTCTGGGTTGCTCCCTTAGTCTCCGACTGCATCGGCCGCTCTGGAAGAACATGCAAAGCTTGGTCCTGTCGTCCGAAGACTCGTCGATCCCGAGGGCAGACAGCCTGCGGACCTGTAATACCCAGAGAACCTCGTTTGGGTTGGGCTTTTGGCTGGGGGTACACTCCTACGGGCAAACGGGGAAATGGGTATATGCAATTGGTTTGGGGAAGTGAGCAAAAAATGCAACTGCTCAATGGATTTATTTGGAAAAGCTGTTATTCTTAGAAATATTGATTTTAATTAAAGAAAACCAAATATTAATAAAAGAGAAAGAGATGGAGAGTCTTTGTGTGTGGTCTGTTCAGAAGCTTTCCCATGATCCATCTCTTCAGGAACTAATATTAAATGCTAATAATTCCTGGAATGAACGGTTACGACGGAAGGGAGTGAGAGACCGTGAGTGACAGGAAGGTGAAAGAGAGAAAGCCGCTCACATCCATTCGCTTCTCTTGGTTGTATGCTCTGGCACCTCTTCTTTACTGTCTGGCTATTATTCAAACATGGACTCAATTGTTGGAACTGTGCGCCTACAAAACTCATTCTTCCACGGGGCCAGCCAAAACACCGAAAACGCTGTCTGCAAAAGCGACGTCTGCTGTCTGAATTGGTGATATTTGGACAAACATCTTCATTGGCCCCCTTTGGATATCTGATACAGCGGAGTTGCATCCAACCGTTTCCGGCCTTCCAACCGCTTCAGTTCAGAACCGACCAATTTCAAAATCCAAAGCCTGAATCAGGGAATCCCGACGTCAAGGACCTGCATCACGTTCGCTCCTTTTACCCCCGCAGAACATAGATGGGCACGTCATCTTCTGGACGGCACCCTCTTTTTGTGGATGCTAAAGAGGAACCAAACGGATGCAATTCACTTCTTGAGTTTGACTTGCGGCTGACCCTTGAGGCTCTGGGAACCTATTTTTAGGGAGGAAACACCTTCCAGCATTGTGTTTGTGAGAGAAGAATCCCGAGAGTGAGTGCTATGGGAAAAAAAACCTTGGCCCCTGGGTTGTACCTGCATCAAAAGCATCCAACTATAATTAAAAGGCGGCCTTCGCAAGTTCCTGAGTGCTCAATCCAGCAAACAACGCAAAAAAACGAGACACCAAATTCCATCCAGGCCGACAAAGCAAGTTCGTGGACTCCCAATCCACCAACTCAAAAACCCCCAAAATCCCCCAAATGAATCCAGGCAGTCAAAGCTTGAGGCTTCGTGCACTCAATCCACGCAATGCGTTTTTTCTCCCGCTTTTTCCTGCACTTGGCCAGTCCCTTTGACCGCCAAGCGAACTAAAAAAGGGCTCGCTGCATGCAAGGTTCGTGGTACGGCCCCTGAAGTCACATGGCGCGTTCTTTTCCAGCGAGCACCCCTCATTTTGCGGATTCTCGTGACGAAAGGTCCTGCACTGTTACATGCCCATCCGACATCACCCACATCTATGGAAAACTAGATGTTCAGATTCTGCTTCAAGTGTAGTTGAGCCCATCTGACATAGTTTTGGAGAAGACCCGCCGGACTTCAACGTTTCGCACTTTGGCGAGTTGTGCCCTTGTTCCTATGGCCTTTTGCACATCCGAAAACGCTCCCTTCGGACCCGAGTGGGGGGGTGGAAATGTTGCTAAATGCACGGGTGCTTGACATGAGGGCCCAGCTTCCCCATTTCCACCCTAGCAATTTGGAGAAGCTCGACGTCACTCCAATGCCCATCGGAACTTTCGGTCCCAGCAATCGAATGCCTCGGCCTCTACGCAAAATCTCTCGATTCGGGCGCCGGGGAAAAGCCCATTTTGGACGTGTCGCGCAACGCTGAGTTTTAGCCATATACAGGATGGGTTTCCCTGGTACACGGAACATAAAACCCCATCAAAACCAGTGGAACCCATCTATTTCAAACCAACACCTGAAAAACTTGCTGGTGCTCAGTAGGGAATGAGCTTCCGGGTGTTGGGAAACCGGAAGGGGCTTCCTTTGAATACAACCAGGTTGGGGATGGTTTATCATGGTCACTCCGTTTCTCATCTGATCGAACGAGCCAGAAAAGCTTGACACCTTCCGATGAGATCGACTGGGGGCTCATCGTGCATTCCACCCCCGAATGGGAGCTTGTCGAGATTTTAGCAATCTTAGCTGAAGCCTTGTGCGAAGTTTGATTTGATGCAAAGCCTGCCAACATCTTGCAGCTTGACGGCCTTGGGGCCTTCTACACAATCCACAAGACAAAAAATGAACACGTCCCAAGCTAGTCCGGACACTTTCCCACATAGTGCACACGCCATCTTTGCAGCTCACAAAAATCCTAGTGGCGCCAATAAGCCGCCATTGAACATCCGCCAGCCGCCAGTCAGCCTTCAAGAACGAGTACGAAACATAACTCAGCAGGTCCATGTCGGTGAAGACCATTGGATTCTGAGGCTTGCTCATGTTGAAAGCTTTAAGCTGACTGAGCCGTGCCGTGGGAATTTGCTGTTGGTTCCCAAATTCCGGCTTGAGTCTCCGTGCCGCATCTTCACGGTCAGACCTCCGTGTTGACAACCTCCGGCCTTCGAAACACGCAATGGACAGCACCCCAGTCCCAGCAGAAGCTACATCTCTCCCCCTTGATCCACATGAATCTGTTGCCAAGACAGACTGGAACGAGTACAAACGGCAAAACAAACAGAAAGGCAACTTGTGACTTCCGGAGGGTGCATTTTTTTGCCATTGGGCGAAAAGGCATATACCTGGGCCCTCCTAAGTATGCCTTTTTTGTGCTGTTTGGGCCAAAGGCTCCTTTTTGCGTATTTTGCTGTTTTGAGAAACCAGGATGAAGACGAAAAGGCGACATTGCCCGACCCAAAGGCGACATTCCCCGACCAAAAAGCGACATTTGCCGACCACGTTTTGGCAAGATTTTGAAGCAGCACTTTTAAAAGGAAAAGGCTCTTTTTGGGGCAAACGATACAATATATTGCTTTTTCAGCAAACGGCAGAAAAAATGCACACCTGGAGGGTCTAGGTATATATATATATATATATGTATTTGCCGTTTCGCGAAAACAGCCAACAGCGCCGTTTGCCAAAAAAAACACCGCCGTCGCACAAAATGCCCGCCCAACGGTCGGTAAAAGTTGTCGTTTGAACGTGAAAACCTGCCGCTTGGACGGGCAAAATTGCCGTTTCGATTTGGCAAGCGACCGCCTGCAATGCAAGTTGTCGATTCGCGAAGAAAAAAAAAGGTGCGGTCTCGGCGGAAAGCTCTGTTTTCACCCAAGCAGCAGAAAAATGTACCGGCCGGGAAGCCACAGGTATATGCAGACACACACACACACACGCACAAACTTGCGCGACAAACAGCAAAAAGCAACACGCACACCAGCGCAGTTGACAACAGGCAAGCGTCCAAGTGGTGCCTATCGCGATTTTTGCGGGGCTCGTTCATGGGCTTGAGACGCAATCACCTGTCGCCCTGCGTGGCCAAGTTTGCTGTCGGCGAGGGCTGGAAGGCTCGGTGTCTCTCTGTAAGTGAAAACCCAAGAAGGCACCATCACCTGGCTTGAATCTGAATTCGGGACTCTTTGGTTGGGTGAGTCTCGACTTCTGTCCAGCCATTTTCCATGTTCGCTTGCAAGGAGTCAAGCGAACGAACTGAAGGAACCCAATCAATTTATCGAGGAAAGCACCTGACCCCAAAGGGGGTTCATCCATTTTCCGTAAGTGCAAGCAAACCACAGGGTGACCTTCTGGCACTCTTGGGGCGGGGGTTTCACCAGTCAGCTGCAACAAAGTGAGACCTCGTGGCCTTTCACAAAAAAACAAAAAAACAAAAAACGAGACTCCGTGCCAGAACCGCTTGACGGACACGCAAAGCAACAAGCCAAAGGGACTCTGCAACAAAGACAAATCATGAAATAAGCCAGATTTCCCCTTTTAAAAAGACCAGGGGTTGGTTGTTTACAAACATATTGCCCCGCCCTATCAGGGATACCCTGTCTGTGGATTCAAACCAGCAAGAGCCAGAGGGTACAAGCACTGGTTCTCACGAGTATTACCTGAGAATCAGATGGACAGACTCCAGCACGACATTTACCGAGGGCTTTTTTGAGGAAGCTCAATGACTCACTGCTTAAATAACCACACGTGTCATGGTCACAACTCCTGTTTTAGGCAGTGATTTTAATTCCCGGATCCATATTGTCCTTTGCTTGTATGGAACCTGAACACCTGTCAGAGTTTGGGCATTGGAGAAGGACAACACTGGAGCGCAAATTCCAGGTGTGTGACCAGTGCCGAACCACAGGACCTGCTGCGGGTCAACCGATTCCCAGGTCCCAAATCGATCATATACTTCCGCACACATATTGTTGTCAGCTGCTCAATACGTGCACCAAACCACTGCCGGTATGTTGGGCCACTTCGGAGTACTATCCTGCCAGTGTAGAATCAGGTGGCATGCATGGAGGATGCATGAAGTGCTTGGGTACGTTTTCTTCAGCTGGCTTGCTGAGTGACCATGGAAAACAGGTTTCTCTTCTAGCTGATTCTGCGGTGCATTGGGCACAAAGGTGCTGTGGAGCATTTATTCGGATCTTCACCTGGACCAATCTCATACTTTGACATGGTGTTCCTCGAAGATATTTATTTGCTACGCTCCCCCCCCAACAACCCCCCTGCAACGGATCTGCGTTTGGGACAGCTTCAAAACATTCCAAACCTTGTTCAGTTCCAGGGGGGGTACCATATTTGTGTATAGATACATATATATATATATATATATTATGCAATATATGCCAACTTCGACATTTCGCATTGTACCGACGTGAAACGAATTCCAGGTGGAGGTTCGTGCGATCCTTAAACACAACCCCTGCGCATCTACAAGTAGTGATACAGGGGAAAATAAAACAACATATTCTTAAGCAAATGGAAGCTAGTAGGGATAACCCACAGGGGAAATATAACATATTCTTCAGCAAATGGAAGCTACCCCCCCATTCCAGGTGTCATCACCGTGCCTGGACAATAGGAAACTAACCCCCATTCCTATTGTCATCCCTGTGCCTTAAGAGCTGTTTTGGAGCAACACCAGAAGACGATGCCCATACAATACACGATGCAACCGTCCTCTTCTAGGTCCTCCAGTAGAGAGGATAGAATAAGGGTAGTCTATTTTAAACGAACACCACTGGGTCTTGAAAAGGCTTCCTTCCATGGCAATGGTCGTCTTGCCCCCCGCCCTCCCATTTCCACAGAGCAGCTTGTGCTTGTGCACTTGGTGCCTGGGCCATCGGTGTACCCGGTTTTCGACCCGAAGGAGCTTCCAGGTGACGCAAAGAAACCCGACTCGACAGGTGCCTGGAGAAAATGGGGCGCAACGTTCGCAACCAAGACAAGTTCGCAAAGTTTGGTGGGCACTCGACCTGGGAAGTGCCCTTTGCAAATCGCCCGTGATGAGCTGGCAGCTACAACTTATTTCTAAGAAAAAGCACAAAACACCCAGAGCCAAGGTGACCAAGAAGGAAAGAGGTAGACAGGTTGCCAGTAGCAGCCAGTCGAATCCTGAAGGTAGGTAACAGTATCTGGTAAGCTGGCATTGTGCATGGAATCTGTTTCTCGAGAATCGGGCACAAGAAGGAAGCTGCGTGTATGCGGTATTTCGCACACAGCATGACTGATGCACTCAGTACATCAACCCAGGCAAATATGGCAATTGCTCGGGTAAGGGATTCTAGTACCAGAGCTTGGTTCCCATCTGAAACAGCTCCAACTGACTTCCGAACGAGTGGATTGACCAAGAAACACTCGAAACTTGTTCTTTGCCATTGATTTGGTCTGCCGAAAAACAAAAAAAAGAAAAAAACATGAGCATAACAAACATAAAGTCCAAAAGCCCAAACAAGTGAGCGAACCAGGCCTTGGTTCGACCTGGCATGACATGCCTTCACCTTTTCACAAAGCAGCAAAGCAGCTCAGTTCGCTTGGTATCCCTCCATTTGCTTAAGCCCCCTGTACACAAATAACACATATTTCCAGCAGTGATAGATTCTTTGTAGCACCAACAAAGAACAATCAAACATACTCTTGCGTAAATGGAAGTATCGCAGTTGGCCCTAGAACTCCGCAGTTTCGAGTTTGCAGTGCAGGAAGCACACACCAGCGAGCAAGTACTTCCCAAGGAAATACCCTCCCTCCCAACAATCATGGACTTGGACAGGGGGTTGCCCGAAAGGAACACAGTCTTCCACAACCCTCCGGTCGGCTTCCATGATTGTTGGAGGGAGGGTAAATTAATCTGCCAGGTTCTCGAATCCAAAGTCGGCATAAGACCACAGCTCTGCAGTTTTGAAAGCTCTAAGTCTAATGGGGTCGGCCCAGAACCGGTTTATATTCTTTCTGCTGTCCGAATGGTTCCTCCTGAAAAATCCAGAATTACTGCGAGTTCAAAACGGTCAGCAAAAAAGATAGAAGCCACTGCAACAGAAACCTCATGTCTGCGAAGCGAATTAATTGAGTCTGTATCTGAGGGCCCATCATCCCATCCACGTTTGTAGCCTTCTGATCCTTTGCCCCCCCCAACCAAACAAATCCCGCTTGATGATTTTGGTCTATATATTTCCTCAACTACAAAATCATGTCCAAGAAGATGCCCTCAAGAGGGTCCAAGTACTCTTTAAGGATGGTGTTGGGGGGAGGGCGGGGCGGTAAAAGAGCTTGCAGTACCTCCTCCAATATTCACTACATACTAAGAAAAGGCCGTTGCTGCAGCTCAATGTATGGGTGCATTTGTCTTGAGGGTACCCTTTTTGGGGATGCTTCAAAGGAAACCAACAGAAAAACCACCATTTCGGGGGTCACCCCAAAACATCATACCCCTCATATCCAGGAAGTAGAACAGCAACTCCGCCCGCTCCTCCGCGCTAAACCGACAAAAAAAACAAGGTGCTCGTGGCCCTTCATGGCCACATCCTCGGCGCGACACGAAGAGGCCAAGAGGATTCCTCTAAAGGTATGTATGTATGTATGTATGTATGTATGTATGTATGTATGTATGTATGTATGTATGTATGTATGTATGTATGACTGTGCGTGCGTGAGTAGCTATGTACATATTATATGTATGTGTGCATGCATGTGTGTATGGATGTTTGTATGTATGTAAGTATGCATGTGTGTATGTATGTAAGTACGTATGTTTGTATGCATGTATGTATGGATGTTTGTACGTGTGTAGGTATGCATGTATGCATGTATGTAAGTACGTATGTTTGTATGCATGTATGTATGTATGTATGTACGAATGTATGAATGCATGTATGTATGTATGCATGCATGTATGTACGTATTTGTGTGTCTGTTTGTATGTATGTATGTATGTATGTATGTATGTATGTATGTATGTATGTATGTATGTATGTATGTATGTATGTATGTATGTATGTATGTATGTATGTATGTATGTATGTATGTATGTATGTATGTATGTATGTATGTATGTATGTATGTATGTATGTATGTATGTATGTATGTATGTATGTATGTATGTATGTATGTATGTATGTATGTATGTATGTATGTATGTATGTATGTATGTATGTATGTATGTATGTATGTATGTATGTATGTATGTATGTAACTATGTATGAATGTATGCATGTACGTATGTGTGTACATGTCTACGTATGTAGGCATGTACGTATGTACGTATGTACGCATGTACGTACCTATGTATGTATGTAAGACAGTATGTACGCATGTATGTAGCGGAAGCGTTGCAAACCATGACGCGGGCAGCTCCCTCCAATAGTTCTGCTAACGTGTACCAGATTATGCCAAATGAAAGCACCATGTGAAGGGATAAGCTCTGGACCTGCAAACAAACAAAGTCAATCCCTATGCGAGCGCTTGCTTTGCAGTAGGCAAACCAGGCACAAGTCCCATGGGTGTGTGTCAAAAAGAGGGCAGGGCAGAGAGGATTTTGGTTGTCCTTCTAGCTTCTCTCGAGCTGAAAAGGCTAGCTTTTCGCTTCACCCACGAGTTGAATCCAGAGCAAAGCGCTTTCCGCCCCATCGCAGCCTGAAGTAACCCGAGACTGCCGAGCCTGAAGTAACCCGCGATTTTGCCGAGAGCTTTGAGGCCGTTCCGCTTTGAGGCCGCGGCTCTGGTGATGAAGCCTAGGGCACTTTCGGTTCAAACGGATGGATTTGGGCCGAGTGGACCGTTGGCAAAAAAACCAAAGCCGGCGACTTTGGGCTGGTCAGGGATTGCGGTTGAAATGGGGAGTCCAGGAATCTATGATACAACGAGAAGGGCTTCCCGAAGACTAAGCCCAATATGAAGGGGAGAGATTTCCATGTATCACAGAAGTGGGGATAAACCCCTTGATCCCACAACCCTGCTGGTTGAACAAGGGCATACTCTCCCGCCAATTTACATGGAACCTGACAGTCTGACGAAAAAGGGGGGGGGCGTGATTTGGACCATGTTCCTGTTGATGGGACCGGGCCCCTCGCAGGTTCCATGTGATGCCAAAGTGGACTTTCCTTACGCTTTGGACAGAGCTATCACAGAAAAACCCCAAAGACCCCACTTTTGGCAATAAGAAAACTACGGTTCAATATGCCCAGTGCTTCCAGCAACCACTGCAGAAATTAACCACGACTTCTTTCTACCTCTAGGTGCTACATGGCTTCGGGTTACCTGCCACAAGTGGCTGGAAGCACCGCCTTTGGAAAAGCAGGGCCGCTGCCGGTTTTAGGGGGAGCAAACCACTCAGGGTCATCAAAAGAATTCCTCACGGTCACCAATGAAACCACGGCCATGAGAAACCAAAACACGTGTCACTCTAACAAAGCAAAACCACCAAGCAAGAAATTCTTGGTACTGTTGATATCCAAGGACAGCCCCTTTTAAAGACAACCATGGTAGGCAACAAAGGACACCGCCATGAAACAGCAGAATAAGTATACCATCCTATGGTTGCGGCCGCCCAAAAAGAGTATCCTGCAGCTGATCCCCAAAAGTAACCCCGGGGGAAAAAAAAGAAAAACAGATCCTATTAGACCCTATTAGTCGCTAGTGGGATTCGCGGGCCCCTATGGGGGCGCTCTTGCACACCATAGACATACAATGAAAGGAGCCCGTCACAAGACCAACGAGCAGAGCACTAGTTGCCGGCCGAGGACCCACATTTTTGTTTCGGTCTTGCTCCACAAGTATTTAGACTGCAAAGGAACTGAAGGAGTTGAACACGAAAGGCTGTACTTGGAAGGGCAAGACTCGGTCGCCTTGAGCCAAACTGAAGGTCTTGCTGTGGGCTTCCGTCTCTGAACCCACCCCTCTTTTGGTACCGAGCGGCTCTTACCCTCGGAGAGACGTTGGAAGTCCTCCTTCAGAGACTCCTCCGGGATGGGCTTGCGAGGAGGTCACTTGCCAGGGATCCGGATGCAGTTGCAACTTGTAAATGGCGGGAAACCCCTTTTCTTTGTGTGTTGAAAAAGGTTACATGTTTCAAATGGTTGCAAGATGGAGATCTTTTAAGGAGCCCTGTTTGGCCATGGTTCAAAACCAATGGTACCATTTTGGGATAGGTGCACCACGCTTTTTAGAACCTATTTTAGTGGGGATTGGGATGTTCACTGGGGGTACGATTTGAATTTGGACCCGTGGCCATTTTCCGTGGGGAAAAGCTGGGCGAGTCGCTTTTGAAGGGTCTCTCAAAATGGTCTCTCTTTGGTTTCCCTTTAAAACTACCAATAAACACACACACACACACACACCCGGGCTGTTCCGGTATACTTCTTTTCAGGAAACCATCCTAAAAAACCCAGAAAGAGATCTGTGTCATTCAAAGGATGGCTGAAAAGAATGGAACAGGAATGAACCCCCTTCTGACCAGAAAGTTCAACCCCAAAGCCTGGTACCTCAGATTTTCATAACTCATTTTTCAGAAATGCGACAGGGTACCCACCCATGTCTCAAGAAGTTCCATGGGCTGGGCGACCAAAGCTTCGGACAAAACGAGTTCGGGTCGGCAGCTCCAAAGGCTCCCTCCCCAGCTCCCAACCAGCGAGTGGGAAACCCCCTCAATGTGGCTGCACCGCAGCCCACGACCCTATGTCAGAGCATCAACAAACCATTTGATGGCTACCCATCGCGAGAATTGCAATGAAAGCTTCGTGGGCTGTCCGAAAACGACGACTGAAGGCTGGTGTCGATCCGGCTCAGCAGACAGCTACCCAACAAGGTCGCTAAATCCGTGCAATCCTCCATCTTCCATTGTGGATTCACGAGGAAACAACACTTTGAACATGAAATACAAGTGCTTAAACTAATTTCAAAGCGTGATTGGCACCTGGACAGGACCCACCACTCCGAATAGTTTCTAATGTTCAAATTTTATGTGGGGTGTTCAATATTGAATTCTATACCGGGACCCTCAACCTACCCATAATCCAGGGAGTCACCCCATACTTGTTTTTGTGGCAATCACCCATGTTTAAGGGAATTTTGGAGGGTCCAGGTAGATCCAAAGAACAACACCTTCAAGTTGCTTAAGACACTTCACAGTTCGGAACAGAGTATACTTGGTACAGCCTCTGATCAAAAGCAGCACATGGCTGCTGTCTGAAATTCCTTGCTCTCGGAAAT